TCTTCCAAGCCTCCAGTTCCAAAGAATAAGCTAAACTTAGTCTCATTTCTCTAGTTGCAGTCGCCCCTCATCATCAAGTACAAGAAGGGCCAGTTGAAGCTCCCACTAGCTCCAACTCAGCCGTGGCTAATCCCGCCACCGACTCATCCTCTGTCTCAACCGGTTTGGACACTCAACCAGCTCCAGAGATACACTGAGGACCACTAACACTCTCCAAGCTTAGCAAACATCCAACAGGAGAGAATTTTTCAGTCTTAGTTTTCAAAACCCAACGGCTCTTTGTAACTGTACCCGGAACACGCCCCATGCTCCCACTGTCACAAAATCTCCTTACTGGTTTAGACTTTCCGACTCGTTCAGCTAACATCCCCATGTCTCCAGAATTCATGTTTGCAAAATGAACTCTCTTAGCACTCGATTTAGCGAACCAGATTTTGTTACGCTTAACCGGGACGGTCAAATTTCCCTCAGCAGGTACCTCAACCATATATAACGACCCACGCTTCATACCATGAGCAATCACCAGATTACCATTGACCACCCTCCATTTACCACCACCAAACCTTACTTCCAGTCCTTGTTTATCCAGCTGACCAACATAAATCAATTTCTTCTTCAGCTCCGGAATCACCCTGACATTTTTCAGGTTCCATGTAGTTCCCAATGAAGTAACCAGATCAATATCTCCCATGCCCGTTACCTGAAGCATCTCTTTATTTGCTAACCGTACCTTCCCAAAATCTCCTTCTTTTAGATTCACCATCGTTTCCCCGTTGTCCATGGCGTGAAACGAAGCCCCTGAATCCATGACCCAAGAGTCTACAGAACTTTCCATACTGAGCATCAATGCATCATCCTCAGACACACTCTCAGCACCGGCAATGTTCAATTCTTTCTTTGGACATTGACTCTTAACATGTCCCACCTCTTGGCAGTTCCAGCACTTCACATTCTTCCAAGTTCTAGACGAACTTCTTCCCCGACTCCCACTGCTCCCACCATTCCTGCTATTCCCTCTACCTCTTCCGATATTTAATAACTCAGAAGAAGACGAGCCACCTTGATTCTTGCGTCTGATATCTTCGCCTAGAACCAAATCTCGAACCCCTTCAAACGTCATGCCACTGGTCCCCACATAACTCGTAACAGCGGTTACTGTTCCAGACCAGCTATCAGGTAGTGAAGCTAGTAGCAGTGATGCTTGAGTCTCATTATCAAATTTAATTCCCACAGATGATAATCTGGACAGAATTGAATTTAGATTGTTAATGTGAACCGTAACTGAGCCTTCCTCATTCATCCTTGTAGTGAACAACTCGTTAGCCGCCGATGGTTTCTCATACATATTTGACAGAGCATCCATCATACCACGCGCCGTGGTTTCATTCATGATGTTGAAAGCAACGCTCTTCGTCAACGACAATGTAATAACCGCCTTGGCTTTCTTGTCCTTTGAGTTCCACACATCTTCAACAGCTTTTTCCATTTTCTCCGGTTTGTCTCCGAGTACCACCTCCAAGTCCTTCTGACATAGCAATGCTTCTACTTGCATTTTCCACCAGCTAAAATCAGAACCGTTGAATTTCTCGATTACAACCTTGTCTCCATCCATTACGACTAACAAGATAAAAAACAGGTACACTTGTGTGTGACAGAAAACCCGACCGTACAACGACAACGATCGTACAGTACCCAAAACGGTCAACCTTGTTTCTGATGTGGCAGATCAGACTAAGCTGCAACCACAGAGCATAATACAAGATATGACCTCCTTCAACCTAATCTCTTATACCAGTTGTTAGGAATCGGACCGGGTACACGCAGCGGAAACACTATCACCCACATAAACAAACTCACGAAATAAAAGCAAGAAGAACACAAGGATATTACGTGGTTCGGATTTGGTGCAAATCCTACATCCATGGGCCGCAACTAGAGATATTTATTATAGGCTCAACAATAAGATTACAAGGATTGCTGTCAAGAGGTACAAGAAAACCGGAATACAAGGCTGCTATTTATAGCCATGGCACCAAAGTGGCAAAAGAATAAAACAGCTCACAAAAGTCCTTTTTGAGGTGTAAAGCTCCATTATTGTCACTAACCCACTTTGCCATTGTCCCCCACTAAACCTTGACAACCAATTCAAGGTATTTTCTTCACATGGTCTCCACCAACCAACACTTTGTCATACTCGTAATGAACTTTATCAATTGTTTCATTCAAGTTCAATCTTTTACGCATATCAAACCACTTATTCCTATTTGTGAGATGATCCAAGGAAATTTCGTGTTCTTTAACTCTACTGGTAACATGGTGCCAATCCGAATAACCTTCGTCACCTAATTTACCTTTAGAAATCCCTTTTCTAAACACTTTACAACAAAAACAAAATACCTTGTCTAGCTCTTTCGAATATACTAGCCATTCTCTATCACACTTCTCCAAATTTGGTAAAGTTCTTGTATATAAAGCTGCAGAAAATCGTCTACCAGATTTATCGTAAGGACCATACATAATACTAGTATCTCTTTTAGGACCCTTCTCAACCAAAAGTTTAAGCTCTCCATAATTAAGTTTTTCCCACCTTCTTGGATCACATATATCAACAAACTCTTTAACGAGCTCTTGCTCTTCTGCCTCTTCTACTTCTACATTTTCTTGGTGTTCAACATGCTCTTCAATAGGCTCTTCAACAGACTCTTCAACAAGTTGTCTATGAATAAACTTATCTAGAGCACCGACATCGACCTTTCTCTTTTCTTCTTCTAGTTTTCTCTTTTTTCGTTTTTGACTACCGGATGGTTGTTTAGACTTCATCACTACAAGTTCATTACTTTCAACTTTTAATATTCAACTAAATACAAAAAACATAATCTAATAATTTGATTTCAGCATCTGATAAATTTCAACATAATTTCAACATTCAATCAAATAAACAATTTCAGATTTTAGATAATATCATAATAATCACAATTTCAACATTCAACAGAATTTCAACACTCAATCATATAATTATTGATTTCAACTTAATTTCGATTTTCAATCAATAATCACATAAACAACATTCAATCTTAATTGAATTAGTAAATTTTGATTATGATTCAAGTTCAATTATTCTATAATGATTCAAGTTCAATTGCTCATCAATCCTCATTCAATTATACACTAATAAAACTATTAATATGATTATCTCAATAAATGAATAATCAATTAGACAATTACCTTATTTGAAGTTACAAACGATCAAACTTCGGTGCTTCTCTTCTGCCGCAGCCAATTGATAGTCAATCAATTAATCAATTAATCAATAATAAAATTGATGAATAATCTCTAAAGAATAAAACCCTTGCTGCCGCTGCCGACTTGCTGCCTTAATTTGTGTTGTGGACTAAGAAAACTAAATTGATTTGGGCTAAGACATTAAAAAATGGGCTACAATTGAAATATATTTAAAAAAAATGGGCCCATTAAAAAACCAGGCCATGTGCACAGGCCCAGGTTGCCCCCCTTTACCACCGGCTATGCATGGGACCGTATTTTATTCTGATCGTTTTTAAATTGTGTTATCGAATGGCCATAAACTGTTTTGTTTCCTAATAAAGACCGTTAATAATTACTCTATATTAATTATAATTATTTGTGCAAACCATGGGACCAAAACTGTATTTTATTCTGATCGTTTTTAAATTGTTAATATATTAATTATTAAAAAAACATTGGAAGCGGGAGATTTTAGAGAAAGAGAAGGATTTCAATTTTCACTGAAAGTGTGCCCTAACTCTGTCTTCGGCTTTTGTCTGTCTCGTTTGTCCCTTGGCTCTCTTGTCTCTTGTCTCTTTACACCCCGCTCCCGAGTTGAAGCAAAGAAAAGAAGAGAAGAGAAAAGAAAGCAAGGAGAGAAAAGAAGAGAAAAAAAAGCAAGGAGAGAAAAGAAGAGAAAAGAAAGGAAAACAAATTTGTCTTTTGTGCTCCCGAGTTGGAAAGAAATGAAGGAAAGTTAAACATTTTATTCTTTCTTTTCAAATCTTCCCAAATCGGAAGGAAAGTTAGGAGGGAAAGTGATCCTTCCATTTCCTTCCACTTCCTTCCTTTAATGAAACTCGCGAGCATCAATCTCTCTTACTTTCCTTTCATTTCCAATCATTTCCTTTCTTTTCTCTCCTTAAGTTAAACTCGGGAGCGGGGTGTTACTTTATCAGTTCAGCATTGTCATCCAGCTTGCAGGCATCCAACAACCTACGAGCACCGGTACCTAACCAGCCACGCCACAACACCACCAAACCATCGCTGATGGTCCCACCATCTCCGGCGAGAATCCAGCAGGCAGCAGCGGCCCTGCAGGAGGTATGTAATTTTTCTTTGTGTGTGTTTGTTTATACTTCTTGAAACACTCGTCATTTACCATTTCAAATCAGTTAGAAATTTCTGTGGCAATTTCCTGAAATCTCTCTGTGTTTGTTTGTAGAAATTTATTTGTGTTTATTCAGTAGCAATTTGCAGTAGCCTAACCTGAGTTTTTCCATTCCTGATATTTGCATAACCTGACTTTTTTCAGTAGCAATTTCCAATAACATAAGTTAATTTTTCATTAGCAATTTCCAGTACCAGTAGCTTAACCTCAATTTCTATGGACTTCCTATTTTTTTCTTTTCTTTTTTGACAATAGCAATTAGCAAATATTGTGTTTTAAAAATTAAGAGTATTTAAAACACACCTAAAAACTGCACCAAAGTTATGCAGTTTAAAGCCGCACCAAGTTACATGGATTGAAACCGAACAGTAATCGAATAAAACTGCACCACATAAAAAAAAAAAAACCGAAAAAATCACACCGCTCAGTCTAAGTAACTATACAAACCACCTTGGTTTTAAATAGCGTAAAGCGCCCTTAAGCGCTAAATGCTTTAAAGCACACAAAGCTTCCGTGAATTAAAAAAATATGAAAATATTTATAGATACTTATAAAATGCATAATGCATATCAATTTCAAAAGTGAAACTCATGTGAAACCCAAAGTATCTTAAATTCTAATTCCTAAGCCTTAAATCCTAATATTTAAAAATCCGCTAAACTATCATCCTCGTCAACTTGAACAAAATCATCTCCTCCCTCATCACTATTGACTCCAATATTTTCTTCCATCTCATCTGCATCCACCAAACCAACCGTCTGTGAGATAGTTGACTAGATATAAGACCTTTCCTATATCTCTTCCCGATGGTCAGACTCCATCATTTTGTACTTTTGATGCTCTAGTTAGATAACTAGGCTCATAAGCACCAAAGTTGTTAGCCACATCTCTCCAAATTAAATCTTCACGCACAAGTATTGCCTCATCATTATTCTGATCTTCCATTCTTCCCATCAACCGCTTGTTGCTTTCATCAATATCTTCTTAAATAACGGCCTAATGGGATTTTTCTCCTTATCTTTAGCTCGACGCTTCAAGGCACGATTGAATTTGACAAACACCATGGCATTCAATCTACATTGTCCCAATCTATTCATTTTCTTCGTGTGAAGCTACAAGAAAGAAAATTTAAAAAAAGAATTGTACAAGCATATTTTTATAAATAATATAAAAAACAGTTTTTCATCTTAAAAAACAGATTTTCAGTATACAAACCAGATTTCCAGCAACAAATAAAAATATATTTTAGTGAAAACAACAATTTTTTATTTAATTAAAGTATTAAACAGATTTTCAGTAAAAAACAGATTTTCAGCAATAATAAAAAACAGAATTTTAGTAAAAAAAGTAAAAAACAGAGAAAAAAACTTACGTGTTGAAAGACGCTCCAGTTTCTATCGCAACTTGTAGCACTACAAGTTGGACTAAGGGCCCGTATGGCAAACTTTTTTAGATTAGGAGCAAAAGATCCATAGGATGGCCAATAGTCAGCTATTAAAATAACAAAAGATAGACATAAACTCAGAATATAAGTTAGCAAAAAATATTCAGTTGTAATAACATTTCATAAACTCAGTCCTTGTGCAATCCATTATTTGTCCAACTCTTTTGAGATATTGTCTTGAATGTCTTGATCGGGAACAAGCCTCATAATGCAATCATACAACCCTTTTTCAACTTCTTCACATGATACCCAACCGCGCCATTGTAAAAGATCATTGGGTTCAAGAAGTGTCTTGCTGCATGTAAAGGTTTATGAAGTTAGACATTCTCATCTGTGATTTCAAAAGCTGTATTGTAGTCATCCGAGCTGGAAAAGCTATCACAAATTGTCTCCTTAGCTCTATCCATGGCCTCGTAAATGTAACCCGTAGCCTGATGTATTTCTTCATCAACCATCCGAAGAACTTTCACTGGGGACCCGTCAACTTAAAAGAATAATGATATTCTTCCTAAAAGTTTCTTGCATAAAGTAAATTTTAATTTTTTGTCCTATCTTATTTGTAGACCACTTGGATTTTTTTCCAGTACTCTTGAAAAAGCACCATCTTCATCAAATTAGTTCTTTGTTTGTGGATCTGGGCAAGAGTGATGAAGGATATGAAAAAATCTTGTTACCGCCAACCTATGCAAAAAACTTTTTGGTTGGTGAACTTTCTTATTATGTCAACCTATCATCCACCAAACGTTTGCGAGATGGTTGACTAGATACAAGAGCTTTTCCTTTATCACTTATCGATGGTCCGACTCCGGGCGTGTTTGTCACGGAGCGTTTAGGAGTTTCTAGCTTCTAGCATTTGACAAAACGTTCTGTTATGAACAAAAAACCTCATTTTGCACTACAAGCTTTTAGCGTTTAGTTTAAACAAAATGCTCCAAATCTAAAAGCAATCTCACATAGCGTTTAACAAAATGCTACCAGCTAGTTTTGCCGAACACGCCCTCCATTTTGTACTTTTGATGCTCTAGTTAGATAAATAAGCTCATAAGCACCAGAGGCGTTAGCCACACCCCTCCAAGTTAAATCTTGACCTACAAACATTACCTCATCATCATTCTCATCTTCCATTCTTACCATCAACCACTCATTGATTTCATCAATATCTTCTAAATGAATGGGATCGTTCTCCCTATCTTTAACTCAACCCTCCAAGACACGATTGAATTTGATAAACACCATGTCATTCAATCTAGTTTGTGTTAATCTATTCCATTTCTTTGTGTGAAGTTACAAGAAAAAGAATAAATGAAAGAAAGAATTGTAAAACGGATTTTTTTTTGCAATAATATTAAAAAAATAGTTTTTTAGCTCAAAAAACAAATTTTTAGTATGAAAACCAGATTTCTAGCAATAAAAAACAATTTTTTAGTAAATAACAAGTTTTCATTAAATTAAACAGATTTGCAGTAAAAACAAACTCCTAACAATAATAAAAAAAATAGAGTTTCAGTAAAAAAAAATAGGTATAAAGAAAAATTTATGTGTTGAAAGACACTCCAGTTTCTCTTGCAACTTGTAGCCCTACAAGTTAGACTAAGGACCCGTATGACAAACTTTTTGGATTAGGAGCCGAAGATCCATCCGCAGGGCCGGCTCAACGAGTTTGGGGGCTCTAAGCGAATCAAAAACAAAAATTTGAGGCCTTTTGATTAACCCTAATTGAGATTCAGAGATAATACCGTGGATTAATAACTTATCGTGGTTTTGAGTGGGAGTTTTAGATATCGGCATATGTAGTCTGCCAATGTCAAAATTCCATGCTGCAATCAAATGGTCCATGGATTAATAACTTACAATAAAAAATCTGTGGTTGTTTAAACCACTAAACTGTAATGTCCATTGTCAAAACTCAAAAGATTAACCCTAATTGAGATTCAGAGATAATACCGTTTCTTTGTTTCAGTGAGAGCAGATTAGAATTGAGAAGAATAGTGGCAGTCCAGAATCCGGATCGCCACTCTCCAGATCATCAACATCAACAGAAACCGAGAATGAAGATTGAAGAAGCAAGAAGAGCCGAGGAGTGAAGAGTGAAGACAGCAGCAAATCAGCGATCGCTTGCTTGATTGCTGCCTTGAACGGTTGAACCCTTGAAGGCTTGAATCGCAGAATCGATTAGAGAAGGGAGGAAAAGAATAGAAGTTGAATCGCCGGGTGAGTGGGATGTGTATTGATTCGATCTTGCAGCATGATTTTTTGGAAACGAGAAGCTTATTGAAATTAAACGGGGCCCTTACGCCCTAAGCCCTATCTTAACTCATTACACTATAAGGTCGGGCCTGTCCATACGATGCCCACCAATCAGCTATTAAAAAACAAAAAAATAAACATAGATATTTAGAATATAATTTACCAAAAAAAATTCAGGTTATAGTAGTGTTTTTTTACCGGGTGATTTTGTCGTCATATGCCTAATAGCCGTGGGAAGAATGAAAAGTCCTTTTGTGTTCCGATATTTGTCTAACTCATCCGAAATTTCATCTTGAATTTCTTGGTCAGGAACAAGCCTCATAATGCAATCATACAAACTTTTTTCAATTACTTCACAAGCTACCCCAACAACGTCATTATAAAAGATCCCCGGGTTCAAGAAGTGTCCCACCGCATGTAAAGATTTATGTAGTTGGCACTCCCACCTACGATTTATGATTTTTAAAGTTCCCTTGTAGTTATTCGGGTTCGAAAAACTATCGCAAATTGCCTCCCTAGCCCTATCCATGGTTCGGTAAATGTAACCCATAGCCAAATGTTTTTCTCCATCAACTATTCTAAGAACTTTCACTAGGGGACCCGTTAACATGAGAGAATAAAGGACATTCATCCAAAATGTTTTTTGCATAAAGTATTTTTCTTTTTCACATCGTATCTGTAGTCTATAGACCACTTGGATTTTTCCCACTTAAATTGTTTGTGGATCTGGGCAAGAGTGATGAAGGACGTGGCAAATCTTGTTATCACCGACCTATGCAAATTTCTTTGGTTGGTGAACTTTCTTATCATGTTTACAAGAGGAACATGACTATATATACCCATTTGCTAAAACAGCCTTCGTCTTTCCTATTATTGTTTTTTGGTACTTTGATTTTGAGGATTACTTTGTGGCTTGAGTTGGAGTAGTTATAGTTATTAAGTCTCAATAAGGCCAAGGCATCAAGAACGCCTCTATTTAGGTTCAACCATATATGCCTTGAGTATCATGAAATTTACGCATGGATGATCCAACATAAGCACAAACGTTAGACATAAACAAGAAACAAAATGACCATAAGACATAGGTTCAGATGAGAGCAATTATGTAATTGAGAACGCGAGAACAAATCTAGGCCACATATTGGTTTTAAATAGCGTAAAGCGCTAAAGCCTTTGGGGGTCAAAGCACTAAGCTAAAGCGTTCACCTAGAGCACACGATGCGCCCCAAATTATATATATATATATATATATATATATATATATATATATATATATATATATATATATATATATATATATATGGAAATACTTATAAATACTTAAAAATCCCCTAAAATCATAGTAGTATCATATTAAATCCTAAGTAATACTAAGTTATAACTAGAAGTCTTCTAAACTACCATCGTCAACTTGGACAACACCATCTCTTCCTCCCTCATCTGAACCCATTCTGTAAAAGTAACAAAACAAAAAACAGATTAAATGATTCATTAATGCATATAGAAACAAAATTACTGATTAATTGAGCTTGACTTAACAAAAAACAGTAAAAGTCATATGAACCTATTCATGTTTAATATGATCACAGTCAAAACAGAAAACAAAACACAGTTGACTAACAAATAAACATAATAATTGTTATTAAACCTATGACCTATCTATCAAGAAGAAAACAAGCAAAAACAACAAAAGGAAATACCAGATTATATGCCTATACTCACAACTTAACAATCAATTATATACTCAAAAGTTAAAACAGAGAGCAATGGAGTCAAAACAGAAAACAATTAAACACTTAACAAAATAATTATATACTCAAAAGTCAAAACATAACAATAAAACAATGTAACATACTAACATATATAACTATATTCTTGAAAAGTTGCATCATGTATGATAAAAAATAACTTATGAATCATGAATATGACTTAACAGTTAAGTAAAACAAGTTAACATTTAACAACTTAACTGAAAACATATAAATATAATGATCCAAGTTCAGACTTCATACTATCAGAGTTTAGAGTTTTAGACTTGAGAATAGAATTGGAGTTGGAATAGAATCAGTAGATTAGTAGAATGGAATGAAAGTAGAAAACATACCTTAATAGGAGCAGAGTTGATTTCCAATTACTTGGAGAAGAAGAGTTGGAGCGATGATACGATTTGCTCTGTTTTGTGTAATTGTGCTTATTGCCAAAGACGTTCGATTCTTCGTTTCCATCTTTATTTATTTATTTATTTAAACCTATTGGCCCACCTAACTTAATTAAAAGCCCATTTTCTATTAGTTACCCTAAGCGTTGAAGCGCAAAGCGGTAAAAAGCGGAAAACATGACCTACTAAGGGAATCACGTTGCATCTCATTACTTGAAGCGCTTTAGGTCATCGCCTGGGCGCCTAGCGCATTAAGCGCGCCTACTCGACGCTTTTTTAAAACTGGGGCAACATATTTCTTTTTGCTGTAAAACGCTCCAGCGTACTGGTGCGACGTGTAAATGTAATATTCATATGTGAATATAATGAAAGTATATTATCGTGTTTACCACCACCGCAACGACCACGACTACTGCTACCCCTGCGACCATCACCACCTCCGCCACCATCACCACCTCCACCAGCCGCTATATTCATATATGAATATACTTATTCATATATGAATAAGTACCAACACCTCTGCCACCCACTGTCACCATCACCACCACCACCGCTGCCACCATTTTCACCATCACTGCCAATACAACCCCCGCCACCGCAACCACCACTGTCACTGCCACCGCTACCCCTACCATCGCCATCACCTCCCCCACCTACCGTCATATTCATATATAAATAATCACTTGTGAATAGATACATACTTATTCATATATGAATAAGTATATACTTATTCATATATGAACATGATTATTCATATATGAAATATTATATGTTCCGTCGTCCCGGTATGTTGGAGCTTAAGCGGCAGATTCAAAATATGTGGCCTAGATTTTTTCTTTAGCATATCTTTTAGTTAAGTAATGAATGAGAATATTTTGGAGGAACATACATGGTTTCTGACATTAAATCCATCTAATATGTTTTTCCTACTCCGGTTCATATTCCATGTTGCATTGAATTTCGTTAAATTGGAATCAATCAATAAAAAGTATCATCAAACATTCTATCCATCGACTAGCTGCTCTTTTTTATATGCACAACTAAACGAATGCAAAGAGATGGTGCGAAGTAAGGTGTTACCTCTAAGAGATTATGGAGGCATTTTTTTGTGTTGGTCCAATTTAGTGTCCTCGTAAAATGTCTTGAGATAGTCAAGGATAATATAAGTTCCATTCGTGGAGGCAAATTGAGTAGTAAAACAACAAATGTTGGATTGCTTTAGATTAGATTTATGAAGAGGTTAGATGCACCTTATTCCCTTCTAACAAAATGGATTTGTTTGAATGACTTGGTGAATAAGCGTCATGCTAGAATTTATAATCAATGGACTTGTTAAGGAGAAAGAGAGGGAAGGGAAAGTGACAATGGGGGGAAGGGGATTTGGATACTTACCGAAGTGACGGCAATGAGGAGGGTGAGGAGGGGAAGAGACGGGGGTAGCAATGTTGAACGAGAAGAAGCAATAAGGTAAAATTGTTATAAAAGGGTAATATAGTTATTTTAAACTGAGCAGGACCAAAACCGCAAAATTCAAAACCAAAATCATGTTTTGTATCAACTTTTGGAAAGTTAGATTGAAACTGTGAATTTAATCAAACTATAGGGACCTTTTTTTAATCTTCAATTTTATTTTAGTCTTCGTTTAAAAACATCTACAAAAAAAAAAAAAAATTATGGAAAAGTTTTCTCTTTATATATATTTTTTAGTTTTCAATGATTATGATAAGTCCCATAATTATGCAACCGATTGTAATAGCTATTATATGCAAAAAAAAAAAAGGATCATCAATCAAATTTAGATTCATAAATAAGTTGGTAATTTTCTTTTTAATTTTTTTAACCAATGATAAAAACGAAAAAAAGTAACCAATCAACAATTGTGGAAATGCTTTAAAGACATGAAAATGAGATGATCAAAAGTAGGCGCGTTTGATATTTAAAGTACAAGACTGACAGAAGACAGAAGTTGGCGCCATCTCCAATTTTCTCAACCTCCGTCTAAAAAATTTCAAATCTCCCTCGAAAAAGGCTTTAAGTTTCAAACCCGTGCCTTTTCTTAATTCTTACGATTGGTATGCTCTACTATGCTCTTTCATCTCTCTAATCCAAATTCCAATTTCCTTTGTCCAGGTAACCACTAATCTCTTCATTAGTTTCTCTGTACTTATTTCTTGTTCAGACATGCAACAGTGTCTGTGTGGCTGAATTGTTTTGATCAACTACTATTTCGGTTAATTTGTTGATCTGACTTTATATGTTTGTTTAGTTTAGTTTAGTTTGAGAGAGGGATTATTCCTTCGATTCAATTGGTAATAAGATTTGGGCTACAGCACTTGCATATCATTTCTCATAGTACCATTCTCGGATCATATCAAATTGATGTTTAAGAAATTGGTGTCTCACTTGGTTAAATAAATAGCAACCACCAGGTGTTTGACAAAATGTCACAAAGAAACATAGATGTTATTAACATCTAACTGCATACCGTCTTTAACTGATGCAAGGATAAATGATAAGATTTAAAAAATTGAGAACAGATAACTTGGTAAAATTGTAGTTATTTGCACTCAAACACATGTATTCACTTTGATAGGACATAGGTAATCCGTAGTCAAGTTTAACATACTGAAAGTTTACAAGCTATGTTGCGAACTATGTATGCTTACTTTATGTTCATTCAAAAAAGTATAATTTCTATCCTTTTTTGTTCTCTGAAGATGATTTTTTTAATATTTAAATTCAGTTAAGGGGTTGAAGAACATGCATGCTTGCCATTTCACTCTGTCTAAGTTTTTGTAAGTTGATATATCTTTTTAGTTTATACTTATGAATCACTGAGGTTAACAGGTGCAAAAATGCTAAATGATAAAAAAAAAAATATGGATTCCAACTAAACAAAACTTTTTCACTGTAGAAATTTTGGAGCTGTAACTGTACAACGATCATTAAACCTCCGGTTTTCACTCAAGTGTTCTTCCCAAAAAGTTCACATGGAAAGTACTGGGCAAAGTGATGCAAGAGGTGCTCTTATTGTTCTAGAAGGTTTGGATCGAAGTGGGAAGACCTCACAGTCTGCAAGGCTTCTTTCACACTTGAATAGTCTTGGGTATGCAGTAGAATCATGGCGGTTTCCAGACAGAGATACTGCTGTGGGGAAAATGATTTCTTCCTATCTTACCAATCAATCTCAGTTGGATGATCACACAATTCATTTACTCTTCAGTGCAAATCGTTGGGAGAAAAGGTCAGTTTGACCTTGAGTTTGCTTTCATGGAGCATTTGAAACGATTCTTGATTTGATTGTTGTTCTTATACAGATCATTGATGGAGGCTAAGCTTAAAAGTGGGACTTCCCTGATTGTTGACCGGTATTCTTATTCAGGTGTGGCTTTCTCATCTGCCAAAGGGCTTGATATCGAATGGTGTAAGGTCAGATTCATAGGCTTAAATACTTAATCCTATTTTCCAAGTTGCTAGTGATTTTTGAAACACACTGTTGTTGCGGTGGTGCAGGCTCCTGAGGTGGGACTGCTGGCACCTGATCTGGTTATGTACCTCAACATACCTCCGGAAGTAATTTTTTTATTTTTAAAATTTTTTATGCATAAACTTTTAGATGGTTTTTTGTTTGGCAATATGTTTATGGTATGATGGGATTTTGTAGAAAGCTGCTGAAAGAGGTGGTTATGGAGGCGAGAGATATGAGCAGCTGGAGTTTCAGAAGAGTGTTGCCAAGTATTATGAGATGCTTAGTGATCCATCATGGAAGGTAACAAAACAAAGAAAGTTGTTTTAAAATTAAGGCTTTTGTTGTTTCACATTTGATTCTGATGAACATGCTCATGATTTCATAACAGATAATCGATGCATGCCTCCCTTTGGAAGATGTTGAGAAACAGATGAAGGAGATTGTTTTAGATTGTGTTGTCTCTTGCCAAAAAGGGAAACCACTTACTCACCTCTGGTTGTCGTAGTAATTTCATTTATGCCATGGGAAATGTATGTCAACGTGTTGAATAATCATATATCACTAGTCGCTACATCATTTATCTTGTCTAATTTCTTTCAAATTATGAGCTGTCATGTTTTAAATTTTAAATGATTCGAAAGTTATCGGTTTCTACTTTGAAGCTATTGTATACTTGATCTGTTTTTATGGCCAGAGAATGAGAACCTAGAGAGAGTCTACGTATATTGAAGGATCTTATGGTCACACCTACTGATGGTGACAGTGGTGGTCCGTGGTATATCTTTAATTATTCACGTATGACATCTGTCCAATATACAACACAGGATCCTATTCCTTTCCCTTTCAATTAAGTATAAGGGCCCACATTTACTTTTTCAGATGTGTCAAGATGGTACATCTGTCCCTCATCTATACTGGGTATATATTTCTTACTTTATGCTTGTTTAACATCAAGTACTTAAACTAAATAAAATGGGTTATGATATATTGAGTTACGTCAGTAGGTTGTGTCAAAAGCTAAGGTTTTCAAAAGCTTTTTTATGAAGTTGTCATGGTGTGTTATGACTTCAATGTTTTGTATTTAATGGTGTGTTATGACTTCAATGTTTTGTATTTAAGTGTTATGCTTTAACAAAATGTCATTTATGTACATAAAAATGAATAATAGTAGAATATATATATACATATATATACACACACAAAATTGTTGTCTCATGCCTTACAAACAACGTGATACGTCACGGCTCGTAAAAATTTGAGGCTTAATATTGCCGTCAAATAATGTTTAATGTTATTTAGAACTTTAAAAATGTCAAAGATAGGTTGTAGGAAAAAAAATGAAAGGCTTGAGTTGCATATTACTCATGCTTTTTTTTTGTTGCTGGAAAAAGAATTCCAATATTTCTATATGTAAAATGGCAGGCCAAGCTGGGATTTAGGGTATGCATCTCTATTATTACAGTATTGAATTGAATGGTTAAATTATATTATGACTTAAAAAATATTGTGACTTAAAAATGGCCAACTCATCATTCCACTAACATTTATCTATAATTAAATAATTTCTTTAATAATTATCTTTTTTCAATAGCTTTTTAAAATAAATATTTAACTAATTTATTATCATCCATCTAAAATGTTCTATTAAACCCTTTTAGTTAATTAGTTATATTCTCAACAAAATGTCACAACAAACAAAAATATAAATACAACTATGTTAGATTTTTATTTTATATACATAAAATACAAAAAAAATTATTAGATCATAGTTATAAAAAAAAGATTGAAAATATTATATAATCGATATAAAATTTATGTCTCATAAATGAATTATTATTAAATTTTTAATAGAAAGAATTAATTAGTAATTAAAGAAATAAATATCTAAAACTAAAACATAATTAAAGGATAAAATAAAATATAATTAAAGAATAAAATATTAGATGAACTAAGTATAAAAATATATTAACCATTTAACATACGTTAAATGATCAATAAAAATAAATCGCATGCTCAAATAATTTTAAGTAGCTAATAAAAAAACAAATACTAATAAGCTAAAAAAAAAAGCTTTCATCATCGAAGACGTTCTTAAAACAAAGTTAGGGAGATATTTTCAATCAATGTTACCAAAACAATGGACACGTGTCCAGATGTGACAACCTCAATCTCTGTGATCTTATCAAATCAGAACTATGGATAAGTGATCCTTGTTTATTTATTTGTTAGGTAAACATATATTTTTATACATATCTATCTCTCTTAACCAAGTTATGTAACATCTATATAAAACATACAAGCATGATCAATGATGTACACTTACTTTGTGTAAACACTGAAGTGAGAATTCATGTGGAGGGTACGTAACCACTTATTTATAAAATAACTTCCTCAACAAACATAATTTAGATATAACTTATATACGATCAATCATAGTAGATAAATCAGTTTTATGCATAAAAATACATTATCATATACTATTCTATTTTCTGTCAAGTCTGTATGCAGAAAATAGTTTGTTATATTATTATAAGATAATATGACTTTTAACTTTTAAGTCGAGTATTTGGCGATCTTGAAATGTGTTAATTTATGAACTTAGTAAAACAATCCCTTAGTTATTATCGAAAACGATTAAATAAGCAATAATTAAATGTTATTTTTTGATGAATCATACTATGTGATGACATGTGAAAACGATGTGATGTTATAGTAATGAGAGGGGAATACTAGGGAGAAGTAAATATATAAGAAATCAAATCCAAATGGCATACTAACTCTAGAGGTGTTCATTAAAGCATAAAAAAGAAATACTAAGAAAATCTGGAACCAATGATTATTGGATTTTAAAGACATCAATGGTGTTCAGTTCGGTCAAATGACACTCATTTCTAAAAATTTTGTGTATTATTCTCTCAATTTCCCAAATTAAATTTCTAACTTTATAATTTTTTTGAACCGGCAAATACAAATATATAATCTACTCCTAAACTAACACATAATTTCACCTATATCCACGACGGGACTTGAACCCTCGACCTCAAAGAGGGAGTACACCACCTGATACCGCTGGGCTAGAAGGGTTTTCTAACTTTATAATGATAGCTTTATTGCTATCTCTTTACCACCTAGCACTAGTCTTTTTATGTCTCATAACTATAAAATGTACTAAACGATCGATTTCATATATATGTAGCTGCTTCTTCTATTAATAACAAATGGTAAATATGTCACAAAGAGAAAAGTCTTCATGGCTCATGCCCCCGACCACGACCAAAATTTTCATACTTGTGTCCTCTCATGTTTCTCAGGTATGTTCATTCTAGCTAGCTGTATAGTTTTAGCCGGTTATAACTTATACCTAAAGTCATATATACATGCTTAAGTAAATGCCTTCTTTTTCCTTACTTCTGAATTTGTTTCATATATACAAAATGATGGTGTCAAGAAGTCTAATCAATTTCGTCATATGATTATATTGCACATTAAAACAAAACTACTTGGTGTCAAAAACAAATCATCATAAATATTTTATGCACTGTATATATTGTAACTTGTATATAGATAAACTTCAGGTAATGATATCAAATGTTGCATCTATATTAATTCTTTATCATATAAAGCCATATATTACATTAATTAGCAAGATAAAGGTCAGCAAAGAAACAAATGCAACTTAATATATCTTAAACATATATATGAAATCTCCAGTTTTGAGATTGACATTGAGATCATAAATACTATATTTAATTGAAGCTTGAACAAAGCAGCCAGTTTGTTCTTAACCTTGTTACAGATTTTATACTGTAGCTGACAATAATCCATGATTCAATTATTATCATATGCAGATATATAGAGAGAAAATATTGAACACAATCAAATAATCAATCGTTGAAAACTCATAGATTGAACAATTTTCAGCAACGATGGGTTAAGTTGGATCAACATCTGAAGAAGTTGATACGGATAGTCACCGAGTTCAATATTTTCTCATGGTATATGCATCTCTCTGATCTATATACTTGATTATGGAGGTATGGTATAAAGTTTTAATTCGATTGATCAAGTTACCTTTTGAGAAATTTGATTTTGATCGAATTAGTTAATTAATTCAATGGCCCCAAGCTCAAGGCAGATTTGACATCCAGCCGCCATGCAAAGCCACCGGAATCCATCTTGCAGACGTCGCAGGGCACCACCATCTGCGTCTTCTTCTCAGATAACCGGTACACAATTCTGACTCTGCATGAGAAAGCTGGCAGGTATTTTACCACCATGGATTTTTCCACTTTTACCCCCAGCCACACCGCCACCTCTGTCGCCGGTGCTCGACCTTCTGAATTCAGATCCAGCATCCTCCGGTATGCCGGATTCACCCACAGGACCTCATCGAAACTGTTCGATATGAAACCTGGACAGCTATCACTCTCTAGATTCTTCCATATCTCTTCATCCGTGTAGCCTAACAACCTCCGATCCTCACACGTACCGGTAACCGATTCCAGAGTGATCCAAGACTGCACTACCTTCCTTTGCTGCATCGCCGTCGCCAGATCTACGCCATGCAGATCTGATGACAATTGCTTCGACGGAGCAGAATCAATTAAATTATTCATAAAACCTTTTCTGTTGTTACCAGGTAAATCGAAACTGATCCAGTTCGAAACGTTCTGCAACGGATCTGAAACAACAAGCTCATTTCCTTTGGAATCCTCGAGCATCGCAACAGCTTTCTCCAAATCGAACCAGCTGCTTTTATTATCGTTTATCGTCAAACTACACCCAGTCGCGTTACTCTTCCTCTTCTTCACTCTCACGTACTTCCTCTTCACTCTCTTCCTCTTAATCATCCCATCTTTCGTCCGTAACGACTGACCGGAACTCTCAGCAGTAACCGGCCTCGGAGCGATCGGACGGTACTTCAACATGATCTGATCGATAATCAGATTATCCTTGCCACCAGCGGTGGCGACGCATCGGGAGTCAACGCGCCTCTTTCCACCATCCATACCTACCTTCCGAGCCTTATCTCTTCATCTATATTCTCTCTCTCTAGAAAAGAAACCGGAAATAATCCCGGGCGGAGGGCAATCATGATGGATTAAGATGAAAATCGGTCGCCGGTTACACGTGTCTAAGGCAACAAATAGCATCAGAAGGCCGTGATTGGTTGTTAGAGATTATTGTTGGGTCCCACAACCAAAAAGAAGCGTGTGAGGGAGCTGATTGGCTGGCGAACAGTAGAACAACACGTACCGGAGAGCACTTCCCCATAAAATAAGGACACGTATATGCTTTGCCATGAAACAAAGCGGTAAGTGCTTCTTTGTCAGACAAGAGACGCGTGTCCCCTATCAGTATATTTCAAATCCTTTTTATCTGTTGTACGCGCCCAATAAGGAGCGTGTGACGTGTGGATTTATTTAAATTTATTTATTCAAAATTTACACCTTGTTTAAGTCACAGTTGATATTATAAAATATAAAGTATAAAACTGTAAATAAAACAAACGGCTACTCTAGAAATTATGAATATCGTTTTTAAAAGAAATTATATATTATATTAGATATTCGTTGGACAAGTATCTTGCATGGGTTTTGTTTAAACATCTTTTAATGTGGACCGTTACATATATGTAGGTTATCGTTTTATTATTATCTTTTTTAGAAACATTAGAAGTTTAACTACAATATCAAATTCTACTATAATCTTTCCGAAGCAATTTTCCCTCGGCCGTAGTGGTTTCTCTGGTTTTGAGGTTATAGGTGAGAGGGGACTGTCATTGGAGATGAAATTAAGAACATTTACAATGGTGAGTTCAGTGAGAGAGTTGAATGCGATGTCAAATATATTTGTCATTTAATGGTTTAAACTTTATCATAGTGATATGCCACATTGATATTCAATGGATTTGGAGTTCAATAACCATTGAACTCTTCAATGAGAAAAATGAAAGTTTTTAATTTTTAAATATTTACTATAAATTAGTTTTTGTAATTTTTTATTGAAATTTGTAGAGTTCAATACATTGTACAAAAAAATTGATAGAGTTGTATGAAATTTAAGAAAATGATGTGACAATCCATTAAACTCTATAAAGTTCAATGCATTGTGGATGCCAACACATTTACCCATGGCCACTTCTAAATGATGTCCTCTTGATTCGAACTCATATCTCTAATGGTAGAGAGCTTGTTGTGTTTTATCATGTGAGCCATTAGATGATGGCTTATAATCCTTTCGGAAAACATAATGAATCAAACATATATATTGTTAGGATGTCAAACCCAATAAATAATAAATGTACAATAGACTCCAAATGCATTGCTATAATGCACTAAAAAGTAGTATAATGCAAGCAGGGCCGATCCTCAAAGATACAACGCTAATGTCTATATCTTTTTGCGCAAGATACAAATTAGTCACCAAAAGGGGGAGTTATGTTTGCAAGATATTAAAGAAATTACTGAATAAATGATAACCTGAAAGAGAATTCAAAAATGTAAAGGTTCCAATCTTATCTTTGACTATGTAGGTATTGCAATTCAATTATGAATTGACATTAACTTCAACTCCATCTAAGTTGGTACTTGAAAACATTAACAAACTCTAACACTTTCCATTCACCAAGTTGTTAAATTCAAAACATGCTCTTTGAAAATAACCTAGTCTTCTAATTAATGTCTAAACAAGCTTTTACATAAAAATCAAAAGAATGTATTAAGTTTTGTGTGAATGTTCCCAACAACATCCAATACTCATCATAAGCTCGAGAGAGAATATGTAAATAAGGCTCACATTAAAATCATTCATTAGAAATCAATTTAATGTTTGTTACTAGTTCTAAATCACAAAACAATTATGGATTTTGCAAATCAGTTAACATCTAACCCTAATTCAAGTAGCCAACAAGAATCAAAATTAAAATCAATTTAATGCTTGTTTGGGTTGCTGCCTGTAACATCCAGTTTTTCTAAGGTAAAATTTTTATAAATAATTCTTGAGCTATGGTTAACCACGACGTGGTGAAGGATCACCACGACGTGGCCATGCTAGAATGTTCGCGGGACTTTAATGAGCCCCCACGACGTGGCATTGTTGGACACAACGTGGTAAGCGACTGAAACGTTAAACCCTAATTTCTTGGGTATTTAAAGGAAAGAGGGAGGCTAGGGTTGCCCACCCTCAGCCTCTATCACTCTTAAACCTATGAGTTTGTAACCCTAATCTCCTTTGAAGCTTTTGAGCTCATTTGGGCCTTTGTGGGTGGCTTTTAACTCTTTCTTGAAGAAGAAGACTCCATTGGTGTGTTGTTTGGAGCAAGCAAGCTTCTTTCCATCATATTGTGTTGTTGTTGGACCTTTGTAAGTTGTCAAGCTTCTACCTTTCTCTTTCAAGCATGCAATATCTAGGCTTTTGTTCTTATTTCTTCATGTTGGGTTGAGTAAAATGCATGGAGTCCATAAAGTTGGCAACCTTATGGATTATTAAGGTCCCCTTGCTATCATATGTTTCAGATCTGGAGTTTAATGCTATTTTGAGTTCCATGCATGACTTTCTTAGTGATATTGCTTCATTTTGACCTAAGTTGGAATCTAGACTTGTTTTGGGCATGCATGTTTGAAAAAGCAATGATCTTTGGAATATTGTAGACCTTCATAAGGATTCTGGAAGGTTGGAAGGAAAGGGCTTAACAGACTAAGGGCTAGATATATTAAGATGTTACAACCAGTGGCGAGTTTAGAATAGAAAACCACATGGTTCACTAATTTTTCTATATACATTTTTCTATACAAATTCAAAGATTTTAAAAGGAAAGGTAGGTCCTAAATTTTTTTTAAGGTAGGTCCCTAAAAAAATTCTGTAGAAATTTTAGATAAATTAAAAAAATTAGGTGGGTCCTGGGACCCACCTTCCTTATACCTAGCCTCGCCACTGGTTGGAACCTAGTTCTCACGATGTGGCGTTTGGATGCCACGACATGGCGACCGGGGAAACACGACTATTTTGTCGAGAAGCGCCCACAACATGGAAATGTGAGGCCACAATGTGGTGATTTGTCCAGTTGACGTGGAACGTTGACTTTGACCATGATTTTGACCAAGTGTGACCTACGGGTATTTTGGGTATTTTGAGTGGATTGAGGTGAGTCTCCTCATAATACTTGTGGGTCGAAGGCACCAATGTCAACCCATTGGATTATGTTATAGTATGCTAGTTGTCTTTGTGACTATTGCATGTGTTGTCTATGTGTGTATGTATACCGGGCGGGTCCTGATGCCAGGCGGGGCCTGATGAATGTACCGAGTGGGGTCCGATGTCGGGCGGGGTCTGATAATGGGATGGGCCCAATGTATGTATGTATGCATGATATGTATAGTATGAGGTATTATGGGGAACTCACTAAGCTTTGTGCTTGCGGTTTATGTTTAACATGTTTCAGGTACTTCCGGTTCCAAGGGGAAGAGCTCGGGTTGATCGCATCGCACGCACCCATGATTTCCGCATGTTGACTATGATGTATTTATGAATGATTGTCATTATACTTTGATTTTCACATTATGGTTTTTTGTAATCAATGAATGGTTGGTGGTTTTATCTAATCTAAAAATCAAATTTTTGGTTATGAATTTTTGGGACATTACAAGTTGGTATTAGAGCCTTAGCTTGAAGGATTTGGGCATACCCTCTAGTGTATCTGAACTCAAACTGAGGATTCGGTAAGTTTTTCATAAAAAGAAATGGTTTTATAAAAAGGTTTCTAATGAAAGAAATGGATGTGTTGCATGCAATCGATCGAGCTTAAGTATGTTTTCCCAAAATACCCATACATGTGTTGTGATATGATTGGAATTGAGAAATTGTGAAACGCGTGCTAGATTAGGGCTAAGGATTGCATTATAGAATGCTAGGAGAGATGGCTTTATTTTCCTGTTGTATGAGCTTGTAGACTTGCATGCTAGTACTGATCAGTCAGTGATAGGATGGCCTGTTTAGGTTATGCTTTGATTCCGATTACTCAGTGCTCGAATGCTGCTTACTTTGTGCTTTTAGGAGTTCCCATTAACATTGTAACATCCCGAAATTCAGGTACAGCTATTTAACCCTTCTCTTTTGTCAAGTTGTCAAGATTAGTCCCTGAGTGGGAAAAGTTGCAAATGAGTACGCCGGGCGTACTGGAGAGTACGCTGCGCGTACTCATGCGCTTGAAATGGATGCGGACCCTTTAAGGTACGCTGGGCGTACCAAAGTTACGTTGGGCGTAACTGGTCCAGATGCAAACCCTAAATGAGACTTGTGCACTATATAAGGAATGATATGGCCTTATCCTCAGCCACCATTTCGAAGAGAGAAACCCTAAGAGAGCATTTCCTTCGTCCTAAAGCTTGTGTGTGAGGGTTTTGAGCTAAAAGTGCCTTTATGTGTTAGTGAAGAAGAGGAGGAGGTTCTTGTGAAGGCTAGAAGTTGGAGTACAAGCTTGGATCTGAGTTCTTCAGAGGAAGGAGCTTCACTTAGAGGTAAAAAGCTCAGAACTTTCCTCTTTATTTTGGTTTGGTGATTCATGGTCCATTTCTAGGGTTAAAGTCCCAAAGTTGGAGACTTTATGAGCACAAGGGACTCCATGGACCTAGATCTGTCCCATTTCAGTGATATATGTGTTGTAGATCCATAAAAATCCCAACTTGGTCGTCATTAGCGAGTCATGTTTGAGTTATGGGCTTTAAAGTGTTGGAAGTGGAATGATTTGGGTGTTGGTGACTCTTACAGCCATGCAAAGGCTTAAAGTCACCAACTTTATGGATTAAGAGGCTAAGGGGTAGTCAGATCTGAAAGTTGGACGTGTGTCTTAACTGTTTAAGACCCCAAAAGCTAAGGAGTCTGAAACTGGGAGTTACGCTGGGCGTAATCCCAGTACGCGCGGCGTAGGGGGTTGCGTTCCCCGTTTCTGTGAGGTCGCCGGGTACGCCCAGCGTACAGGTTCGGTACGCGCAGCGTAACCCGGAGAGTT